CAAAGAAAAAAAGCGTAATTATTTTTAACTGGCTTTCTGTATAGTGAAATGTCCCTCAGAAATTGCGCAAAGAAAAACATCAACGTAATTATTTTAACTGCCTTTCTGTATAGTGAAATTCCGAGAAAATGAGCTGCTGACCTAATACAATGAGCGGTGCGTGACGCTCACTTGAGTCAAAACTACCGACACATTTGGGGCTGTCAGTGAACGACGGTTTAGCGGGCCGCCAATAATATTTGGACATGTCATTTTAGAAGGGTTATGCTGTTTCTCTTTTTAAACTAGCTTTGCTAAATTCGGATGTGCCTGTATAAATATTGACTTAAATAGATAAAAAAGTAGCACAGTGGTATTGTTTTAGTTCTGGTGCATGTACCACAATCCATATTGAAAACGAAGAAAGATTACGGAAAAGTCAAAATGGGGTCCATTCAAAATTCCGTAGTTTATTTAAAACGAGAATTAGCAAAAATATTTTTACATTAAATTCAAGAGAAAGAATGTGTCTTTGCTAGAAAAAATGATGGTTTGAATAAAAAAAAACGCGAAGCCATACGATCGCCGAGAAAACCTTACGTTTTCCTATTCAACACAAGGTGCCCAAGCCCTTCTGGATCCCAAAATCAACTTCGAGTGATTTCTCAAAAGATAAAAGGCGCCCAGGACTTAAAAGTTGTATTTTCGAAAATGTCTCACCACAAAGGGTATTTAGGCAAAGTATGAGCAATCCCGAATTTTTTCAACTGTCCGAGGATTCTCGACCGTTACCGGCAGAAATTGGTAAAAAAGAGATACGTAGGCCAATTTCAGTCAAACTTTTCAAAATTTCTCTCGGCTATTGCTTCCAGTGGAAACATAATTTTTTTGAATCATTTTGACTGACTTTACGATTTCAAATGATAAGAAATGCAAGGGTAAAAGGGGATAGAAAGTTAGAATATGAGAACTTCTTCTAATAGACCCCGACCGACTACTTCCTCATTTAATACCAAATTACTTACTGCTCATTTCCATACACAGCTGCCTTCACAAGGATATTTATTAATCAAATCCATAAACCTGGCGCACTTCGTGGTAAGAGCTTGTATTAGGCTCTGGTACGAAATGGCATCAAACTAAGAATACAGTTTTAAATTGACGAAGCCGCTGTATTACTGGAATCAGTCAGAATTATAGCCGAAACTGGCGCCAAATGTCCCACATGGGAAGAAGAGTTTCCAACTCTAATCAAAGTTATTCGAATTCAAATGACCTAGAATGGAGAGACGTAGAATGGAGACTTGGTATTGACATTACTATCTTTGTCGTTGCTGTTATTGGCAACCTTGCTGTCCTTGTGGTCATTTACGCTACCAGAGAACGACGAAAGACACCATTCGAGATCCTCATTGCTAACCTCAGTGTAGCTGACATCCTATCCGTGTTGCTACTCTTTGTATATCACTTCAACATTCCACGTTCAAAATGGTTTTGCAAACTTCAAGGCCTATTTTTCTCCAGTACCCAAATGGTAAGCTTGCTTACCATGACGACTATTGCAATATTTCGATGTCGATCCATTGTTTATCCTTTCAAAACCAAGCCCTCAAGCAAGTTTACATACTGTACTGTGGCAGGACTGTGGGTTGTGGCAAATATTTGTCTCATGCCAGTTTCTTTAGTGATGGAAAATGTTAATGGTGGCCTAAGTTGTGAAGAAATCTGGTCATCAGAGCTATTAAACAAGGTCTACACAGTCTCTTTATTCGTTGTGCAGTACATGATACCTTTGACTATTATGGCCATTTCTTACACCAAGATTATCTTGTATTTAAAACGAAACAAAGTTCAGTGTGGCTTAAATAGTGACAGAATTAACCAGCACAAAATGACGCGAAAGAGAGACATGGAAGTCATCAAAATCTCTCTCATTATCGTACTTTTGTACGCTATTTCTACATTACCGAATCAAATAGCTTGGATAGACATGATCGTTTTCGAAAGCTACGATATGTCAAGCTTGATTTTTGAGTTTTCTCTTCAGTTGTTATTGCTTCATTCCTGTTGTAATCCCTTCGTTTATGGCACAATATCTCGTGAATATCGCTCTCGATTCGTTCAGGTGTTTTGGAGCATTTCCTGTTGCTTCTGCAAGATAAGGAGGACTCAAACGGGCGTGTTACAAACAGAACAAGGGCAAAGGAACAACGATTGTGACTTGGAAATGATTGAGATAAAAGGTTATGTAAAAAGAGATGGAACTGCAATCGTACCTACTACACCGACCGACCGACCGACCGACCGACCGAACAGCGAACCAACAAAGCAACCATCTAACCAACTCGGTTAAACTGAAGCGTAAAGATAAAAGGAAGGAAGGAAAGCCGAACGACTGATGTAAAAAATAAAGTAAATATCAATAGCTTTAGATTCTCTTTGCTAAAAGCTATTTTAAAGCCTTTTTTAAATATATTCGCTTTTTGTTGAGTACTACAAAGAAATGAATTTCACGGAAAGCTTCGGGGGGTGAACACCTGCAAGACAATGGACAAAAAAAGTTCGACCTGTTAATGTATCTGTAGCTTGAAAACTTATGCAAAACGCTTTATCGCTCCTTCCTTTCTTGCTCTTTCTTTCTTTCTTCCTGGCTCCCTTTTTCCTTGCCTACTCTCTTGCTTTCTTCGTTTTGCTTACTTCTTTTCTTGGCTACTACCTTTTTGCTTCTTCTTTCCTATTCTTCTCAAAATTAAGGTGCAATTAGGCGGTTATTGTAATCTCAATATCTATAGGAAGTCATAAAATTGGTTTTGTACACGCTGCGAAGGAACCTAAAAGAGACTTCCCGTGCGGTAGCAGGTCAAATGGCTGCCGTCCTGGGATATATAAACAATATGTTACATTTCTATTTTGATGTTTTCGACCTTTTGGGTTTCTTCTTCTCTAGTTTGCCTGTTTTACTTGCTTTGGCTGGTTTTTCTAGTTTTTCTAGTTTGACTGGTTTATCTGGTTTGACTAGTTTAGCTGGTTTAGCTGGCTTGACGGATTTTGAGGTTTGTTTCTCATCCTTCTCGTTGTTTTGTTGTGAAGCTTCTGGTGATTTTTCAGTTTCCTTTCGTTCATCATTTTCATCACTCTCTTTGTCGTTTCCTTCTTCTTCTTCCTTCTGATTCGTGGAAACTTCAGAAATGTTTACTTTTGGCTCTAAATAAACAAACAATCAATTACAAACAAGCAAGCAAGCAAGCAGGCAAACAGCCAAACAATCATTGGTTTGTCAAGATGATGTTAGAATTAAGCCAATTGGTCATTCCTATTCTACCCGTTTCAACAAGGAGTACGTGTATAGTCAGCCTATGGCCACAAAGGATTATTACAAGTACTCATTCTACCCAAGAACACTTTCAGAATGGAACCAACTCCCAAAGAAAGCAACACTAGCAACCTCACTTGCAGCATTTAAGAATGCAGTTGCAGATATTTATTAACTTGTTGGACAATTACTATTTATTATTATTTATTCTATTTATTAATATGCTAATTATTTAATCATTTTAATAATTATTTAGCGTGGTCTAAAATGCTCAGTATTGAGCGAATGACCTAACTGGTAAATGTAAATGTAAATCCGGGAAACAAACAAACAAACAAACAAACACAACAATTTAAATAAATAAATAAATGAATGAATAAATAAATAAATAAATAAAAACTTTGACAACTGTCATTTCTTATCAGAGCTGTTAGGAAAGAGCTACACTGAGTCTAATTCTTCGTTTGCAATAGACGTCATAGCCGCCATGTTGGAAGAATTTGACAAAAGATTTTTCAATGAATTCTTTTGTTATATCTTCCTGGCGGACATCCCTTTTGTTATTGTGCTCTCTTGGGATTGATTGCAAACCAAGAATATGAGCGTAAGTCGGTTATATTTATGTTGGTGGTGCTCGCGTGATCATAGCTGGTTTATAGTTAGTTTTCGGTTACCTTCTCCTGGTACTTTGTTAGAAAATTTCTTGAGCTTTACGACAAAGAAGCCATCCATATTGTGAGCGTGAGGATAAAAGCGACGAGCGTGCTTAAGCGATTGGTGGAAATGACGACCTCGGAATCTAGAAACAAATCAAACAAATCAAGCAAACATCAATTTTATTGAAAACTGAAACAACCCAGCTCTTGGCTGATCTAAGTCAGGGAATGGCTAACTCACAGATGGAAACCTGAAATCCATTCACCCATTTTTTAGAAGGGGGAGGGGGCCGGAGGAATAGCTGTTAGCCTATGTGCCCAATTTGCTAGTCCATCCGGGTTAGTTTTAAAATTTCAAAATAGCCGCCTAATACCTAACTGAAAAAAATTACAAAAATGCAAGATTTTTGCCAGAAAAAATCAGTGACCCCCCCTTTTTTTAACTTGTAAATATTTGATGCACCCCTTAACTCCCCCGGCCACCTACCCTCTCTTTAAAAAAAATGAATGCTACCTTAGTGTAGCATTATTGTTCTCTAGCTTACACTTACTTTGAAAACCCTTCTTTGCCAAAGTCCAGTCCTGTTGGTACTAGCTTGACGTATCGCTTGCTCAAAGCATAATCTATCACACATTCGTTCTCTTCCACCTTGAACAGGATAAAAGATAAAAGATACGATTAATAAGCATGGACGTTTGGCTTTGGGTTTTCGGCTTTGGCCTTCAGCTCGTATGAATAGGCCCTTTGCAGTTATAATAATAATAATATTAATAATAATAATAGTATTTATTTATACACGATAAGTTATATACAGCGTAGCTGATGTGATCGTGTTCTAATCCTAGGTCCTAAGCTATACTAGTCCTCTCACTGTCACCCACACACATTCTCTCTCTCTCTCTCTCTCTCTCATTCTCTCGATCTTATCTACTACTAAGCTAATTATTACATAATTTAATATTTTGACTGTAAAGAGTTATTACATCTTTAGTTGAGATATGTCCTTTTAAGTTAACGGTCACATGTCTGTACTGGAATGCAAAAATTTTGCCGGTTTTTATATTAAATTGGTGATTCTTTTTAGCTACTTGTAAAGAACTGAATGAAACGATGTGTAACCAGTGTGTCACGAAATGTAGTTTTATTACGATCTCTCGAAACAGGTTGTAGAAAGTTTGTTTGCTCACCAGTAAATTTCACCCTTGGGAATCAAAATGTTCATTCATTTGCTCTCAGTGAATTAATCAGCACGTGATTGCTGAGCTGCGAAGGGCCCACTCATAGTTCAAACTCAGAGAATAGCGAGGCCGGCAATCACCGTTGCAGCAGCTTTACCAGTGGAATTAAAATCTCGTCCCACAAACAGCTACACAGTATCTGTTTTGAAGAGTACTACAAGGATGACGAAGCGATTTTATTCTCTAATCTTTTCGCAGGACAGTAAACAATAGAAACAGTTTATAATCAATGTTCTGCGATCAGAGTTTTAAATTCAGAAATATTCTAGAGTATCGCGATTCACTAAATAGTCTCTTATATTTTTGAGACGACAATATTTTGTGGTGTTTTCGTTTCAAAATGAAGGTTTCTGATTGGCTAACGATCGACGAAAAGGAAAGTTTGAGAGTGCGCGCGCCAAATTATGCTCGTAAGGAGAATTTCGCTCTTAATCAAAAAAAATTAGTCAGTTTTTCCCTTTTTTCTGTTAAATTCTTTAGAATCGCGATACAGTACAAAACTAATTACGATTTTGAGACGACAATACCACGAAATATTGACGGCGTCGGAAGAAAATATATTCGGTATTGGGCTTCGTCACTAGCCGTCAATATTTCGTGGTATTGTCGTCTCAAAATCGTAATTAGTTTATATAATTTGTTGAGCTTGTGGGACATAGCAACGGTAGCTAAGGGGAGTCGTTACTATGGATGGTTTAGGAAACTCATACTTATTCTTATATAATCTAAATAAACCATTTGCTAGAGAACTTCGTAAATTTTGAACACAATGCCCCCACCCTACACCATAAAAGGCAGAGATTTTGCACTTACCATTACTGAACAAGTAGAGTATACAATGAACCCTCCAGTAGAAGACCTGGCATCAACAGAGTCGATGGCCGATAGAAGAAGTTCTTTCTGTATGTGCGCGCATCTCAGGATATCTTTCTCTGACTGAAATAGACGAATTGAATAGATTAAATAAAAGGAAAGGGAAAGAAAAGGCCATACGAAAATATCCTTCAATTTTTCAACGATTTGAATCCAACCTTAAAACAACCTCTGGGCTGATCTAAGTCAGGACATGGCTAACTCACAGATAGAACCCTGAATCAACCTCTGGGCTGATCTAAGTCATGGCAGGGCTATCTCACAGATTGAACCCTGAAACAACCTCTGGGCTGATCTAAGTCAGGGCATGGCTAACTCACAGATTGAACCCTGAAACAACCTCTGGGTTGATCTAAGTCAAGGCACTGCTAATCTGGGCTGATTAAGAACCCCCTGGTAAAAGATGAGTGCACTACATTTTATCTCACCTTGTTAACTTTGACTGAAGGATCCTTTGACACTACACCGGTACCGCTACATGGAGCATCTAGAAGCACTCGGTCAAAACCGCCAATAACCTGCAAAACAAGAAACGCAGGTATACGTTAGAAGTTAGAAGTAGATCTAGCAGGTCAGAGAAAATGATAAGGGGGGGGGGGGGGGTCTATAGCTTATTCTCTTTGCTTATATCCACCGGATTTTCAAATTCAATTTTGCTGTGACACCAATAAGCATGTAAATAAATGTCTTATTATTGTACTTAAAATTTTTGTGGCAGTTTAATTTCGCGATTTCTCAGGTTGCATATTTCGCGAATATTGTGGAAAAACTACGTAAACATAATTGTGTTTTCCTTGAATAACTCTTCCATAATTTGTTACCAAACCCATAGATTCCTCCTCAAAAGGGCAGTTTAACGTACAGCAACATATCAAAAAGTAAATACTTTGCGTTAATTATGTACTATGTTTTCTGTTTTAAGACCCCGTCCACAGGTATCCGCAAATTTTTTTTTGCGGATACGGGTTGCGTCCACACGTGTCCGGAAATTTTTGTATCCGTATCCGGAAATTTTCGAAAATGGTCTTCAGAGTGGAAATTTTTGAATACGCTAGAAAGAAAAACTATCCGTCAAAGTGACTAGGCACTAGCGTGTATCAGGGCGGATCAAGAAATGTCCGGATACGTGTAGACAGTGAAAACGATGCGAAAATGATTCGAATACGCTGCGTGTGGACGCGAACATTTTCGTATCCGCAAAAAAAATTTTGTGGATACAAAAATTTCCGGATACGTGTGGACGGGGCCTACATCTAGTAATAACGTTTTCTGCTACTAATCATTAAGTGTTTTTGGATCAATAGGTGTCAGTGCTTTGTTCAAAAGCAGCTATTTCTTTTATTCCCACGTTTAAATGGTCATATTATGGGGGGTTACTTAATTTTCACCTCATCATATTTTCGCAACATATTTTCAAAAATATTTTCAAAATCTCGATATTAAAGTGTTGCAAAAATTTCATGCAATATTTGAAGGCAAAAAAATACCTTTGGAAAAGATCTGCCATCATAATTACACACTATGGTATTGGAGACACCTGTGGGAATCAATCAATCAGTCAGATCAGTTCAGGGTTTTTTAGGGTAAAATAAAAAATATAAAAAATAAATATCCTTATTTATTTAAGTCTATTCATTCTAGTACTTTTGCACTAATACTTGGGGACACTTTTGGCTCACTCACACTACCACTCCAATGTTCTATGCACAGAATGCTCAACTCACATGTTGATTTTTACGGAGGGAGGAAACCAGAGAACCTGGAGAAAAACCCTCCTAGCATACAAGAGAACAACACATCAAACAAACTCAATTCACATGTGGTGTCTACAAGGCTCTAAACAGTGACCCCAACCTTTGGAACCACAGTGGTGAAAGACGACATGTTAGTAGCGCATGCCACTCATGCTATGAGTTTTCCACGGGCTTACGAAGAATTTAAATAGTTTGTATGTGAATAATGAACTTTTATCATAATCATCGAAGGAAAACATGATCAAATATTTCACGGGCCTCCAGTATGACAAGATTAATTTATCATATTTTTTCCCTTGAATTAAAATACCGTCGGGGTCCAAGAGTTTCCCAGGGAGCCAAGTTAAAGTCAATGAGCTCTTATGCTGCGTGGGGCCTCACTAACTTTTCCCACTCGTATGGACGGGATACATGTGTATGGTAGGATCCCACCCATTCGAACGGATCCCGTGCGCTAAGTCTGTGCGCGTCACAAAAAGTTGACCATGAAAAATGACTGCCCTAAACTCTACCCATAATAAATCAATAACATTTAATGTTTTACCTAATCTGTGGATGTTACCAACTAAGGCTTTTGTTCTAGCTTTGTTTGCATCATTTGCAACAACAAGACCAGAATTTTTCATCAGAGCAGCTGAAATACAAGGCAAGACATTAACTGGGAATGAATAAATGAATAAGAGAATTGAATATATGAACAAGGGAATGAGTAAAAATTGAGAGAGCAAGATATTAAGTTATGAAATGGAATGAGTGACTGGAAAGATTGATGGGAAGAGTGAATGGATTGATGAATGAATAAATAAGAAAAAGAAATGGAGGTATGAAAAATAAAATTAAGGTGTGAAGAGAGAATTGTAGAGATGGGAAGAAAAGGAAGAAAGGAAGAAAGCAAGGAAGCAAGGAAGCAAGGAAGCAAGGAAGCAAGGAAGTGAGAGAAAGAGGGGGGAGGATACCGGAGAAGAA